AAACCACAATGAGATATCACTTAACTCCAGTGAAAGGGCTTTTATCAAAAAGTCCCAAAACAATAAATCTTGGTGTGGATGAGGAGAAATAGGTATACTCCTACACTGCTGTTGGGCCTGCAAGCTAGTACAACCTCTATGGAAAATAGTATGGAGATACCTCAAAAAATTAGAGGTAGAACTACCATTTGATCCAGCAATCCTACTACTGGGTATCTACCCAAAGGAAAAAAAAGACATTCTATAAAAAAGACATCTGTCCTTGAATGTTTATAGCAGCACAATTCACAATTGCAAAGATGTGGAAACAACACAAATGCCATCAATACAGGGGTTTCTTAACCTTCAAATTTTCAGCATATGGACTTTGATAGATCTGAGCAAAGCTACTAGACAGACGAAAAACATGTATTTCTGTTGCCACCAACAGATGGCATTAGCAATCGTGCTCAGTCATTTAGGGCCATGAGGTGTTTTCTTGAGTCTGTTGGCCATTTTTCTCTATTTTAAAAATGTTTTACATACATTAACTCTATCCATACCTGATAAATGCAAAACAGTAAAAGTGTTGAAAAACTACTTTAATAAGCATACATTTGCTATGATAAAGACAAGAATAAAGATTATTTGAAAAAAGATGGAAACTGCGTGTACACAAGGGATGATTTTTTCTTTTGACAGGAATAATTTTGAAGGGTAAAGCATAAGTCACACAACAACAGAAAAATGCTGTGCCTAACTGTGACAGACTGAATTTTGTCCCCCCAAACTTATATGTTAAAGTCCTAACCACTTATGTGACTGTATTTGGAGACAGCATCATTGAGGAGGTAATTGAAGTTAAATGAGGTCATAAGAGTGGGGCCCTAATCTAAAAGGACTGGTATCCTCATGGGAAGAGGAAAGGCCATGTGAGGACACAGTGAGAAAGTGGCCATCTACAAACCAAGGTGAGAAGCCTTAGGAAAAACCAATCCTGCTGGCATCTTGCTCTTGGACTTTTAGCCTTCAGAACTTTGACAAATAAATTTCTGTTATTGAAGTCACCCAATCTTTCACATTTTGTTATGGCACCCCAGCAGACTAATATATTAACAAGTGGATAATAATCCATAAAAGACTAAGACTAGTGACTGAGGGAAAGAAAGAAAGAAAGAAAGAAAGAAAGAAATGAAAAAGAAGAGAAGAAGAAGAAGAAGAAAGAAAAGAAAAAGAAGGAAGGAAGGAAGGAAGGAAGGAAGGAAGGAAGAAGGAAGGAAGAAGGAAGGAAGAGAAGGAGGAAGGAAGAAGGAGGGAAAGAAACAGAAAGAACAGAGAAGAAAGAAAGAAAGAAAGAGAGAGAGAAAGAAAGAAAGAAGAAAAAGAGAGAGATGGTGTGGCATCCCAAAGAAAGACAAGGGAGATGAAAACAGCTAGGCAAAGTGGCTTGCTGCTTTTATGGGACTGAAGAGAAAAATAGTTAATATAAATTGCCGTATCTGCTCCTTCTCTTCTTGACTGCAGGCAGAAAATGGAATCTGCTGTGTGAAACTACCGCATCCATTCCTTTTGCTTTAGGGATAAAGTGACCTTGCCCTCAAGATTTGATTTCAGGCTAGGTTCATGTCCGGAGATTGTCCCCCATGCTGTCATCCAGGAACTTCTCAGGAACTACTCCAGGCTATAGAAACAGATGCTAAAAACATAGGGTCAATAAGATCATGTCAATATACTACTGGGAATGATCCAGTGGAGACTGAAAAATGAATGATGCAGAAGAGCAAGAGGAAAATTGCTGGAGCAGTGTTGTTGGGGAGATGAAGGTGAGATGTAGTGCCCCTGGGGGAGGTTTGGCTTTGAATAGGAGCAGAGAGGTGAGTGCAGACACTGGGGTAAATATGGACCTGGAGTCTGGGGAAATTTCCTTCTGACTGGTTCCGTTTTCTCTGAGGTAGTAAATAAGACCATGATCCAAGACTGGTCTGGAGGGGTGACAAGTTAAGTGGCAGTTGTTATGTTGGGATGTGTGAGATTGCTGGTTCCAAGTCAGCCAGAGTTGGAGTTACCTTCCCTCTCTGGGCAGGGTGGTACTTTTGATGAGGCAATGAAACCTCCCCTCCTAAGGCACCAGGACACTCAGGCCAGACCAAGGGCTTCAGGCATCATGGGTGGTAACATCACTTTGTCAACTCTCTGCCTGAGGTGGGATGTTGCAAGTTCCTAAACTGATTCAGGGACCCAGAGCTGGTGGAGGAGGTGTACATTTGGGCCAGGGGAGGCAGCAGTAGGCGTAGCAGGGTGATGCTCAAAGGAAGAGAGTGTCCTGATCTTTTCTACTGTTCTCTGGAAATTGTCTACGGTAACAGACAATAATCACAATTTTCTGTGCTTAGTTAGGAACAATGTCAAAAAGCTTTCCCCGTATCTTTTATAGATAGATAAGATTTATTTATTTTGAAAATGTGTATATGGGTGTGTATGTATATGTCTGTGTGTGCATATACATGTATATACATACATACACACATATGTGGGAAAGTATTTATAGGTAGAGCAAGAGAGAAAGCCTGATTTATGTACAAAAGGGGCTTTATTCATTGGATTTGTAGACTTACATTTTTCCCTTCCTCTAGGAAGGGACTCAGGGATCTTGCTTAAGAACTATAATCACAAATCTGTTACCACTATTTTTCCTTCCTATCATGAATCTTGATATGTTACTGTCAAGGGATGCTCAAGAGACAGGAAACATAATTCAAGCTGACTTAAACAAAAGGTAAATTTACTGACTTGGATAATGGAACAATCTGACCCCAGGCACTGTCAGATCCAGTATCCAGAAGGATCATCAGGAACCTGTTTCTTCTGAAACAATTCCATTCTCATGCTGACTCTCTCCTCATGAGGTTGAGTCCTCTGAGAAGCAGATGCCAAGACAGGATTAGACATGGTGATGATTTGGGTCTCCATGTATCAATGTCAATTTGGGCCCTGTATCCATGTGTTTCTCTTTTCCTTGTGTACAGCCACGCTAGTAAATGGTCCTCAGTCTGCTGCTTGGCTATGTCCACTCTTCTACTGCAAGGTATAGGGGCTATCAAAGAAGTCCTCTCACTTTCATACTTAGCCTTTAACTGCTCCTCAGTGGCACTCAGTTTCTCATTGTCCCTCTGCAAGGCATCAGTACAACTCTGTAACCAACCAACTCTGTTGTCCTTGCAGGCACTGTTCCCCTCTATCTTTTGAATGCTTACATTATTACACCTACCAGAGCATTCCCTTTCCCCAATTTGTTTTCCTAGTTGGAAAACATATTATCACCAGTGAAATCCTTAGCAATTCAGCTTCCATCTCTTTCTAGGGACTATCCATACTCCACATACTGCTCAGGATGGGATGTCGTCTTCTTTACCCAATGTAAAGAAGCAAGTCTCAAAGTTTTATCTTACTCCCTGTTCTCTCAGAACCGTTCAACAGCATTTGTGTTAGTTTGGGTCCTTCAGGAGTCATCTGCCAAGATGGGATTAGAAGTACAAGAGGTTTATCGGGGAAACAGTTGAAAAAGATAAAGGAGTTAGTGAAATTGAAGAAAACTTTCAAACAGCAATGCAGGTCTGATACCTGTGAAGGGGAGTGGAAGGAAGAATTCAGTTGTTAGAGTTTCATAGTGAAGCTCAGTTCTGTGAAAGGTTTAACCAGATTGATGGGTAGTACACAAGCCAAAATCTCCCATTGAAGGCATCCCATATTGGTACTCCTGCCATGGTTAGTCTTGACTGAGGGTGGCTTATAGAAAGCATGGGCCTGGCATGAATATGATGGAGAAATCTGAGGGACAGCAGCTGAGCTCAGTCAATTATGCTTTGATATGGATATTTTCATGGCCATATTCCACATAGTTCGAAGATGGTTTTTAGCAGGTAAAGGAATTAAATCCCTCCAAGTTTGAATCCAGAAGAGGAAAGGCATCAATGTCCCAGCAAAAGCCCTGAGATTGACTTGGATTGGACCAGCATTTGTCACACTCCTACTGCTGAGCCAGTCATGGTAGCCATGAAATTTCATTCTCTGATTTTCTAAGGTCTAGTTTTCATGCTCTACCTCCAGGATAGGAGTTGAAACCCCTCCCATACCATAAGAACTGAGAGGCAGTAAGGGGCAGATTTCCAAGCACAATAGGCACATATAGAATATATGTGTTTTTAATTTAATTTTAGTTTTTTAACCAATAACTTATTGTTTGTTTTTATTTCAGCATCTTATGGGGGTATAAATGTTTAGCTTACATATATTGCCTTTGCCCCATCCAAGTTGGAGCTTCAAGTGTGTCCATCCCCCAGACGGTACATACTACACCCACTGGATATGAAATGCTCATCCCTTTCTCCCCCTCCCACCTGCCCAACACCCAATGAATGCTATTAGTATTTGTGCACGTAAGTGTTGATCAGTTAATACCGATTTGCTGGTGGGTACATGTGGTGCTTGTTTTACCATTCTTGGGACACTTCACTTAGTAGAATGGGCTCCAGTTCTACCCAGGATAATACAAGAGGTGCTAGATCACCATTGTTTTTTGTGGCTGAGTAGAGCTCCATGGTATACATGTATTACATTTTATTAACCCACTCATGTATTGATGGGCACTTGAATTATTTCCACATCTATGCAGTTGTGAATTGTGCTGCTATAAACATTTGAGCGCAGATATCTTTTTTATAGAATGTCTTTTTTTCCTTTGAGTAGATGCCTAGTAATGGGATTGCTGGATCAAATGGTAGTTTTACCTTTAGCTTTTTGAGGTATCTCCATATTACTTTCCACAGAGGTTGTACTAGTTTGCAGTCCCACCAGCAGTGTAAGAGTGTCCCTATCTCTCCACATCCACATCAGCATTTATTGTTTTGGGACTTTTTGATAAAAGCCATTCTTAGTGGAGTTAAGTGATATCTCATTGTGGTTTTGATTTGCATTTCCCTGATGATTAGAGATGTTGAGCATTTTTTCATATGTTTGTTGGCCATTAGTCTGTCATCTTTTGAAAAGTTTCTGTTTATGTCCTTTTATTTTTAATTTTAACAGCCGTTGCACGATTGCTTTCCAAAGACGCTATAGCAATTCATAGTTCCACCAAAGGGTATAATGGTACTCTTCCCCCAACATCTTCACCAGCAATATGGGTTACTTTTCTTTTTAAATATTTGAAAAAGAAAATGTTTCTGATGGCTATCTGATGGGTAGAAAGTGATAGGTCATTATTACTTTAATTTATAATTTCCTAGTACTAGTGTTTTAAATGTTTTTTCACATATTTACTGGCAACTTGGATTTGCTTTTCTATAGATGGACTCTCCACATCCTTTTCCATTGTCCTATTTTTTGTTTTGTCCTTTCTTGTCAGTTTATAAGAACACTTTTCATATTATAGCTAATAGCCCTCTGTTCTCTGCGTTGCAACTAGGAAAGGAGAAAGCTGCGTGGAGCTCTGTGCATGTCTTCTCCTTCTCCATCTCTGTTATCAGGACTAGATCCATTGTCCTCAGGGTGCAGTCTGGCTCAATATGCCAGGAATGCTATGCAGTAACTCCATCATTTATTTTTGGAAAACAAAACAAAATAAGCCCTAGTTGAGGACAAGTTTCTATCACCTGCCTCTGAACCTTCCCACATCTACATTGGGGCAATATTGCTCAAGTTTCTGTCATTCTAAAATCATTTTCTTAATTTTTTGCCATTTTCTTTAAGTCGTGTACTGCTATTTATATTTCCAAACATTAACTTTTTTGCATGGATTTATTTTAAAAGTCTATATTGTTGTTATATCATCGTAAATACTAATTATCTTTTTCCAATACACATTAAAATAAATTCATAACTATGAAAATAAAATACATCTGCATACCACCTAAAACACACCATATTTTGGTAAGCCACATCAAAGCGGGCCAAGAGGATCACCAGACTAGTGAAGGACAAGAGAGAGGATTTACAGAGCTGCGAGTTTCAGGGCCTCATCACTTATCAGTCGCAAGACCACTCCCACCAGCTGGAGTGGATGGGAGGTTCATTCACATCTGAGGAGAGGCCGCACAGAAAGGTGCAACTGCTTGACGTGCTGTGCGGTGGTGGAGATTAGAGTCCGCATCTTTCTCCGAAAACAATAGCGTAGCGGGGTAATGCTATGGGGTTTTGGAGGGAACTAGACCTCAGTCAAGTCCGGTGGACACATTGTAGGTGGTATTCAGGGCCCAGGAAGCTGGAGCCCAGGGCCAACAAGGATCGCCTTCCAAACATTCCGCATTCTGGCTGGAACATCAGGGAGGTTCTAAGGTTCTTCTAATTATGCTTGGGTCCAGGGCTCGGCAGCGGTGGCCTCAGCACCCGGGGTTGCGATGGGTCACAGTCCCTGAGCGGGGTGCGACTGTCCAGCCTGGTATCTGGTGCCTGCCGCATCGCCACGGGCGGAGGTCGCCAGGCAGGAGGAGCGATGTGCTGGCTGCGGGCATGGGGGCAGATCCTCCTGCCGGTTTTCCTTTCCCTCTTTCTCATCCAGCTGCTTATCAACTTCTCAGAGAATGGTTTTTCCGAAATCTACAATGCCAGGAACCGTCAGAGACCAAGCAAAGGGAGTGCAGAAGGTGAGTGATCCAAAGCCCAGAGGCAGGTGTTCCACCGCCATTGTTTTACTTTTCAGTTGTGCCATTCTGGTGTACTGAAATTCTCATCTCAAAAGTTGCCATTTGGTGTTGGTGGGAAGACATTTATAAAGGGTCATGGTGTTTTTGGTGAAACCCAGTTACATTGACCTCAAATTAATTTGCTTGATCTAAAATGTCAAAAGTGAATGAATAACAGTTTTTAAATTTGGGGAATACATGTTTTTCCCCCTCACTTTTGCCATGACCTATAGCATAATAAGCTTTATGCTGCGAATAAGCTGTTGGGTTTTGTTCTAACAAAATGGTCATAGCTCCTCTTTTTTGGTGTTTTAAGGTCTTGGATAATAAATTGCTTAATTTTTTTAAAGACCTATTTACTTTAATTTGGAAGCTTTCCTTGATTTCCCTCCCCAAAGAAAGAAATTTTGAAATGTTAAAAGTCATGCTGAGTTGACTTCATGAACCTGGAAATAAGGTATTTAGTATCCTAACTTGGAATTGTATAGATAAAATAAGGGGCAGAATTTGAATTACTCAAAAATGTCCTGTAAAGCCAAGATTGCCATTTTTATGAAGACTATAAGACACAATAATTACCACTGTCTGGTTTCCAGAATATAAAAGAATGTTAGTATCTGTAAGCGAATCAGTCTTCTTTAGTAAAACCAAACTCACAGCTCTCAGCTTTGCACTAAAATAAGAATCTTCTTTGAGGAGTTGGGGTGGGAGGAGGCTGAATCAAAAGACCAAGTTGTTTACTGTTGTTTTTTTTTCCCCAGATTCTTTTTTAAAAATATTTTATTTTCTTTTATTTCAGAGTATTACAGTGGTACAAACATTTTGGTTACATAAAATGCTTTTATACAGTTTGAGTCAAAGTTCTAAGTGTGCCCATTACCCAGATAGTGTGCCTTGTACCCTTTAGGTGTGAATTTATTCATCCCTGCCTCCCCTTTCCCACCAGCTTGATTTCCATTGAGTTTTATTTCCATATGTGCATGTAAGTATTGTTTGATTAGTTCTAATTTATTAGTGAGTACATGTGGTGTTTGTTTTTCCATTCTTGTGATACTTCACTTAGAAGAATGGTCTTTAGTTCCATCCAGGTTAATACAAGAGGTATTAGTTCACCTTTTTATGGCTGAGTAGTACTCCTTGGTATACAGATACCACATTTTATTCATCTACTCATATATTGATGGCACTTGGGTTGTTTCCACATCTCTGCAATTGTGAAATTGTGCTGCTATAAACAATTGGGTGCAGATGTCTCTTTGCTACAATGTGCTTTTTTCCTTTGGGTAAATACCCAGTAGTGGGATTCCCGGATCAAATGGTAGATTTATTTTTAGTTCTTTGAGATATCTCCATACTACTTTCCATGGAGGTTGTAGTAGTTTGCAGTCCTACCAACAGTGTATAAGTGTTCTATCTCTCTGCATCCACACCAGCATTTGTTGTTCTGGGATTTTTTTTTTGTAAAAGCCTTTCTCACTGGAGTTAAGTGATATCTCATTGTGGTTTTGATTTGCATTTCCCTGATGATTAGAGATATTGAGCATTTTTTCATATGTTTCTTGGCCATTACTCTGTCTTCCTTTGAAAATTTTCTGTTCATGTCTTTTGCCCATTTTTTAATGGGGTTGTTTGATTTTTTTCTTGCTAATTTTCTTGAGTTCTTTGTAGGTTCTGGTTATCAGTCCTTTTTCAGATATATAGCATGCAAATAGTTTCTCCTGTCCAGTAGGTTGTCTGTTTGATCTATTGATTGTTTCCTTGACTGTGCAGAAGCTTTTTAATTTGATCAGGTCCCATTTATTTATTTTTGTTGATGCTGTGATTGCTTTTGGGGTCTTCTTCATAACTTCTTTGCCCAGGCTGATGTCTATAAGAGTTTTTTCAACATTTTCTTGTAGAATTCATATAGTTTCATGCCTTAGGTTTAAGTCTGTTATCCATCCTGAATTAATTTTTGTGAGTGGAGTGAAATACAGATCCTGTTTCAGTTTTCTACATGTGGCCATCCAATTTTCCCAGCACCATTTATGGAATTGTTTTCTTTGGTCTTATCTTTCCCATAGATTTCTCTCCTTTTTAACCTCTTGGTCACCCCCATACATACTCTAAGAGAAACAATGTTCCAATGTCATCCTGGCCCCATTTCCCCACAAACAATACTTAAAACCATGGGCCCAAACACTGAAACAAACCCTTCCCTTTGTTCCCTAGCAAGATGGAGTCATATGGAAATTTTTCAAAGGACTTCATTAAAATGCTTATGAAGAACCAAAAAAAAAAAAAAAAAAGCAAACAAACAAAACAAATCAAGAATCACAGAAAACATAGTCTGGTCTTCAAAGACTGAAGTTTCTCATTCTAGCCAACTCACTTACAGAGCTGGCCAACCCTGGTCCATGTTTCTGAGGTAACAGGTTTGCCTTTGCCTGGGAAGCCTGGCTCTACCTGTCATCAGCCTCCCCTGAGTGTTTGCTTCTTAACTTTGGGCAAATTCCCCTTAGCTGCGTTCAATTTTACCATCTAACAAGGATGTTTTCTTTTCTTTTTTTTGAGACAAAGTCTTGCTTTGTTGCCCAGGCTAGAGTGACTGCCATGGTCAGCCTAGCTCACAGCAACCTCAACCCTGGCTCAAGCAATCCTCCTGCCTCAGCCTCCGAGTAGCTGGGACTACAGGCATGAGCCATCATGCCCGGCTAATTTTTTCTCTATATATTAGTTGGCCAATTAATTTATTTCTATTTTTAGTAGAGACGGGTCTCGCTCTTACTCAGGCTGGTTTCGAACTCCTGACCTCGAGCAATCCACCCGCCTCGGCCTCCCAGAGTGCGAGGATTACAGGCGTGAGCCACCACGCCTAGCCAAGGATATGTTTTCTTAAAGATCACCATGCTTTTCACTTCCAAAACTGAGAAAAGGATTCTAACCCTTCTCTGAGATCCTCACCTATATCCCCACCTACACTCTGGATGACAGACAATAGGTAGCACTTTGCAAAGGATGGCACATCAAGCAGATTGTTTTGATTCTCAGGGCTTTTAACTCTGATGCTAATTTACTTTTTGAGAATTTGGTAAGTAATATCCCAAGAAAATATAGTTTGTGTTCCATGAAACTTTGGTGTTAAATCTTCTTCCCCAGTAGCTAATGAATGAATAAACAATGTACTGAAATCTAAAGAGACTTTTTTACCAGAAGTAACAAGACAACTAAGGGGTATAGTCCAAAAAAATAAGTGGCAACTAAAAAAAAAAAAATAGAAGGAAGATTTTGGATCAGAACAACATATCATAGCATGGCAAGCCTCCAAATACTACCACCACCCTTTAGAAGTAACTAGTGAGTTGCTCAACTCCAAGAATTTGTGTTACTACTCCCACATTTGGAGAGGAGCAAACTGAGTGGGTATCCAGTTCTTTACCCTGTTCTGATAAAAAGGGGAAATGGCTACAGAGGAGAAATAAGTGGAATGAGAACCTGAAGAGAAGGCCTGACTCGCATGGAAACACAGGTTTCTGAGCTACACACAAGCTGGATTTGGGGGCAGATTTAGAGTCCACAGATATCCCCTTCATTGAAACGGGAAACAGCTTTAATGAGCTAGAGCAAACCTGGCATTAGAAAATGACAAAACTTCAGAAGAGGGAGTAGAGCCAGATATTCCAGAAAAGCCTATACAGCCTTACCTGAGTTCTCCCCACCACCCCCAATCTGTCAAATGCAGAAAACAATCGAGTGAATAGAACATAAACTGAAGTTTCTTGAAAAAAAAAAAAAATCTCAAGATATTGGTAAGGTTGTTAAGATCTCACCTACGCTATGTCAGAACAAATGAAAAATCTGAATAGAGCTATCCAAGCGTTAATAGGATGAAAATAACAGAGCAGCTATGCAAACACTTCATAACAAAATAATGAAATAAAGGAGTATATGATAGCATGCAAAGAAAACAAATAATCTGTCCTAGAAGAAAACATGACTCAAGAAGTTGATGAAAATTTTTCTGCAAGTGCTTTTAGCTAGAGAAAAATAAAATTGAGAAATAGATTCAGTGAAACAAGCTTCAAAGTCAAGATAATAAGATATCAGAATGAAATGAAAAGGCAGATTGCTCCAAAGAAATAATCGAAGGGCACATAATTTGAATATGAGGCAAGGCTTCCAAGTTTTCTTTCTTCACTTGTTTATTTCTCCTAATGATAAATACACCAAGAATATTTGTCATGTACACTCTTAAGTATACTTACTGTATTGGGCTCTAATAGCTGCCTCTTCCCTCTGTTCTCCCATCTAGGGGGTGCTGTTACCTGGGAGGAAGTGGGATTTCACTTTCTTTCCCCTGGTAAACTTCTCAATCTCCCCCATCACCTGCATACCCAATTCTCAGTATTAAGTTTTTAATGTTATATATACTCAGAGTGATTTCTGTTTTCCTGCTGGATCCTAACTGATACAGTCATCTTCAAGACAAAAAGCACTGTAAGATTTTGACCAGTAGAAATGTAGTAGGAAGGTTAGAGCGAATGACACTAACATTTAAATGCTGCTGGGAACCCAGAAGGGAAACCTGGTTCCCCAATTCTGGCTGAGGTAAAGGAAGGGCGAGATGATTTAAAACAAACAAATAAACAAAAAAACCCAGACACATTGAAGGAGAATCTAAAAACATTAGGAACTTGTGACTCACTTTCTAGAGATTACTCTAAGAAGCCACCAGTGTCATAGATAACATGAGGCTAACATGGCTCTCTAACAGTAGGTAACAGTAGCAGGAAGAAGTATCTTTGCAGATGGACCCAAGGACTGCTTCACAGAGTCCCTTGAACATGAAAATTTTGTAGGGAAAGGGGTAGAAAGCCCTAAAATTCCCCAGATAGTTGGTAGGGTATGGGTGGGGTAGCTCTCATAAGAGCTGGCAAAGTTGAAGATGACAAGCCATTCCAAGAGAATATATGGACCTCATT